TGCCAAAAAAAAAAAAATTTAAATGACCATTTCAGACTTGCCTAAACCTTTTAACATCGGAACACAAAATTACACTGAGAGAGCAGTCTTCTTTTTTCCACACGGAAAACAGCAGATGAGCCAATCATATGAATCCAGAATAACTGGCAGTTGCGCAGATGTTTAAAAATTTTCTCTTCTTAAAACATGCTCTGATGTAATACCCTCCCTTTCTCTCAAGGTCAATGGTAGAAGGTAGATTGTTTTCAGTTCATTAATGTGATATCAAATTTATCAAAAATTAATTTGTCCAACTGATCACCTTTAATCCTATGGTTAAACATTTCTATTCTGCTGGGAGTGGTCTCTTCCAGGATCCAAAGGGCACATGGGCTAACTGAGAAAAAAATGTGCGCAATGGTTTAATGAGTATAAAAATGTAAATTATATGCTATGGCTTTCACAGTCACCAGCTCTAAACTCATCTAAATTCAATGGGAGATTCTGGAGTGATTTGTTAGACACTGTTTGCTGCCACCATCATCATAACTAAGTAAATATCTTTTGTAAGAATGGTGCTTCTCTCTCCAGTACAGTTCTAGAGTAAAATCTATACAAGGGCATGCTGAAACTGTTCTAGGCACTTTACTATGTACACCACAGTAAGATCTGAAAGCCACATTAAATTTGAAAGTTAAAGTCAATTGTTATCAGTGCTGTCTTTTCTTCATAGGTCAGACTTGCTTATGATGCAGTCATTAGTATCCTTTTAATCTGCCGCCATTTGTCCTGCAGTGCTTCTTTAAACCTGTCTGTCATGAGGAAGTAAAACACATTGTTGATGACACTGTGAGTAAATGCAATTGGTCGTGTCACTATGTAAGCTGCATTGATGTAGTCTATGATACACCGTGAAAAATTTAGTTCAGGAAGCCGAGATGCAATACGCACATTCCTCAGTACATGGATGGGTGTGTAGAGCACCAGAAACGTTATTGCTGCAGACCTCACGATTCTTACTGGCCTTTGGAAGGATTTCCCACGCATCTCCTCTCTTTTCACGAGTACAGAAACCATCCTCTGTGATGATAGAAACAAACCCATCAGTGGCAGCACATATCCAGTTATGGTGAGGATTACGCTGTAGATCAGAGTAATTTTGGGCACTCCCAGACTCGCAAAATCACGGCACGCTGTCCAGCGATTTTCCTCCAAGTCCTGGATAATGAAGACAATGAGGGGAGCGATTTGAGCATTCACCCAGATCCAGTTCAGGGTGGTGATGCACAACGAGCCCTTGAGAGTCAACAGGATGTGTTCTCGCTGTGGGTGACAAATCAACAAGAACCGGTCCACACTTACCCACATCATGAAAAGGATGCTAGCATACAAGTTCACATGGAGAATGTAGCGATTAATCATGCATAGTGCAGAATTGAATCTCTTCAGGTTGTGAGCGTAGTTGTAGGACAGCTCAGGTAAAGTACACAGGAAGATGAGGTCAGACAGAGACAGGTTAAACAGGTACACGTTTGTTGACTTCCAAGTTGGAAGGCAAAATATATAGCCTAGGACCACCACTAGGTTTCCGATGAAGCCAAAGGTAAATTCCAGAGCATACATTGGCGTGAGGTAATCTTTCTCTAATAGTGGAGTGATGAACATGGAACAGTTGTCCTGCAGCCACAAAGATTATTGTACATATAATTACTGCACATAAATGGCTCTATTTTCATGCCAATGCAAGCATATTATGCTGGTTAATGCTGGCGTATTGTTTTCACACACCAGTATATTCACCCTTGAGCTCTGTTGCTATTTTTGTGGTCATGAATTAAGGCGTTGTGCAAATGTGTGCGGAACTGTGCGAATGGATTTTTGTGAATCCATTTATTTCTGTAAAGCTGCTTTGTGACAATGTCCATTGTTAAAAGCACTATACAAATAAAACTGAATTGAATTGAATTGAATTGAAAGGGGTTGTGCATTTTTATATATCATATAGTCATAATATATCATAATAGTCTATATCATCCAAATACTAACTAAATACAACACACTTAGTCACACACTAAGTTTTCTTTTAACCAGCATTTAAATCCAGCCCAGCTGAGATGCGCCATAATGGCATAAACTTCACAGTCAGTAGTGTCATATGTGCTCCCACGTTCTGTCTCGTGACCTCCCAGATGCTTTGTTTTAATTAGGTATGCTCTGAAGTGATGATAAATAATAAACAAATTAATTCAGTGTGAAGCAGATTATTTAGATACTTTCAGGTGTGGGGCTTTAATTCTCTTTATAATAATAATAATAATAATAATAATAATCTTTCAAATCTGTTTGCTTGTAATATGAACAACTCTAATTAGATAAATATACAGAATTTACATAAAGTGAGAATTTTGGATTTATCATGATTTGGTTATATACATACACACACACCCAAGACAAAATATATTTCCAGTAATTTCTTCCAGCTAGCTGGTTATTTTTGCCAATTGGACACCTCTTAGTAATGTACTAACTTAAAGATCCCACCCCTTGTTACATTTGCGGCATGATAGCACCTGCGCTGTCGCTCACAACGATATAAAAAATATACAACCTTGTTTTTGTGCATGCAGCATGGCCATGAAAATAGAGCTCAAATTCTCTGTGGTATGATGTTGTAGACAGAGATTATACCCATGCAAGAGTTAATTTCACACAGGGGATTTCTCATGATAATAATGAGATTTATGTAAAGCAT